CAAGTTGAATCATGATAGTTATTATATCAATCACATGTGATTAATTACTAGCATACAAATGGATTTACTATACGTTTAGCTGTTTTACCAAACAGATTACATCAAATAACTTTCTCAAACGTTTTCACATGTTAAAACTCTTTATCAAACTGATTTACATACTGTATGTTTCCTTTTAAACCCGGTTACACTTGTGTTTCAAACAAATGTTTTCCTTAAAATGTCTTATCAAACAAAATACTTTCAAATCGTTTTATAAACTGATATCAAGTCATCATTTCTTAGTATTAAACTTTTCAAAGGTTTTACAAAACTTCTTATATACTTTTATATTGTCAAATGAATGCCTACATATGTATATTTATATAAATAATGTTTAAAGGATTTAGGACATCTAGCTCGCTTTATTTCCTTTTCCTCGTTGGGATGTGGCCTTAGGGCATCTGTTACTCGCTCGAATGTCGTCTAAATATTAGTTATATATCATGTATACATATATAGACATAAAATTTCCCTCAATTAGTTAAGTACCTTTGGGTAGCAAAGGCAGACTTTCGGGTATACACGTACATTACTTGTAACTATAATACATATAGTTAGGAGATATTACTTACTATCCCAAGTGTAAGGAATCACACAAGAGTCAGTTCATTCATGAGTCTATACTAATACAATATATACTATATGAAGAGATACAATTACAGAAACACAATTACAATACATGATAATAGAACAAACACAATAAGGTGCTATAGCATGGAATAACTACAGGATCTAACTATACCAATGAATCACTAACGCATTGTGATAGTTATATTGGGTATACATGATCATAATAATGTGGATGTTCACGGCTTGCAATCATGCAGGAGTCGCTTTTGGTTCCCAGAATCCCTTGACCGGGGAGCGTTTAGTATGGGATCAAGCCATCACATTATGCCTTAACCCTCTATTAAGGCAAATTACTACAATAGTAGTCACTCATTACAAATACTATAGTACTTACACTTTACATACGACAATTACAAAAGGATAAAACTCCAGTTAATATATTATTAATACCTTTACTATGTGTCATATTCACATTATCGATGAGGTAGATTAAATTTGAATAATAATAGTTGTACAAGGAAAAACCTTCACTTAAGTAGAGGTTCGAACTTCCAAAATAGTCGGGTCTTGGTAGAAGGTTACTTTCAAAACAGTTGAGTCTTGGTAGAAGACTATTATTTCTACTAGTAGGAAACACAGGATTTTCTAGAGTTTTCAAACGTTTACAATTACTTACAAACACTTTCATACTTACACAAACTTTTCTCCAAACATTTACAAGTGTTTCCTTTACAGTTTTTACAAATCGAAGACACATAAATACTTATGAATTCACCAGCTGTATTGCTGATACTCACTTTCAACATAACTTGTATTCTCATGTCAAAAGTAGACAGGTACGACGACCCGGTTTTGTGAAGACGCAGCAGTCAAGACTCGTCATTTATTTTGATTATTCATTATGTCATTTTATACTATGAAAGAACACATGTGTGTTTAAAATTATACTATTAATGCAATGGATGATGTTGTTGCTTGTTTACTACTTTACATTGTTATGATACTTTACATGACATCCTCCGCCCAAGAACTTTTGTGCCGTTCTTGGTTTTAGGGTGTGACAGATTGGTATCATAGCATTGTTTATAGCGAATTAAATATATAAATCCATAAAAGATATACTAACTATAAATACAATGGGATTAAAAATACTCTAACCAAGACTTATACTTTTAAATAATAAAATATTTAACGAAGTATACATACCTGCATTCATATTAAAATCCATGTCACAATGACAAGAAAAAAAGTATTACGATTGTTGAATATCACAAGTAAACTCAAGGATGTATGGTCAGTCTTGGGAGTGGCATAGCTTGATCAACTATGCTGGTCCGAGGAGTGATTAGCACATGCCCAAGAATGGTTGTGATGTGGCAACAAGTCTAAAAACTTACCAGCACTACCACAATGAGAACATTATAACAGAACATAACTCTAAAATACTATAGGAGTAATTTGTGTTACTATAATTACTTACTTGAGAACTAAAAAGGGTCTTAATTACTAAGTCGATAGTTGCTAAGTGGATACACCAAAGTTATATGTAACTAGGATGTCATAGACTTAGAATCTGTGAAATTTTTAGTTTACCCCTATTTATTGTGAATTTGGAGTTAATGTCACTTATTCGAAGGACTATCCTGTTTTGATTACATATAATTGACATGGACTTTACAAATAGTGATGTAACTAATGAAGATAACATGGCTGGACTCCATCCTCACGGCAATCCATACCTTCCGAATGAAGACAATGATGGATGGTTTGGAGAAGAACCCGAGAATGATCATCCAATCCATTTGAATGATCACCATGCTGAAGACGATTCGGATGATGCTAACTCCGAGGTCGAGGTTGAGAACCTACCCCCGGTAGCTCCCATTCCAAATCCTAAACCTCGTCCGGCTTTTCATGGCCCGATGCCTCCTTGGGTAGAATTCTTGGAAACATGGAGCGAAGATCAAGATCAACCTATGCGTTTAATGGAGACCGAAGCTTCTACAACGTAAACGAAGGGATCTCAGCAGACAAAGTTCTACCAATTCTGATCCGTAGTGTTGCCCCAGAAGAAATTCAGGGTAGGACGGCTCTCTAAAGTATCAAAGAGGTTAATGCCAACACAAGAATGCATACGATCTGCACCAATCGCCTTGATCACACACGTGAGAGATATGAGAGAAACAATGAGACCCTGCTGCAAGCACTAGCTGAAACTCGAGCCGAAGTCATAGAGTTTCGAGTATGCCAAAGGGTGTATGAAAGATACCTGCTTGATATGGAACATCAACTAGCTGAACTAAGGGTTCACTATACGGTTGACCGTCGCCAGTAAGAGATACTTTACCTTCCTTCTTTGTTTTAAAGAACTGTGTTCCTGTCTATGTGTTGTGTTGCACTTTTCTATGTGACTACCGTGTATTGTATGTAGTTTTAGTTAAGTCCTTATGTTGTCAAACACTTTTCTTCTCCGAATATGATGTAAGACCTACTACAAGGTCAATTTTCCCGAACTTATTGCATCTTAAACATCGATGATATTGACAGTCGACTAACTTCTGTGTCACTCTTTGTTCAAATACTTTCATCATACTATCTTTGGGGTCTATCTGAAACCCACTCTAGTCAAGTTATTGGACTAGGGTAATTTAACTCCGGAATCATTTTCAAGCCTTTTTCAAAGGTTGGATCATGTTATCCACCAACCAATAATACCTCAGTTTGAACGGAAAAACGTCTTGAGACCATTCTACGAACTTACGTCTACTCTATACTGGGACTGCATCATAGGGTTGTAGGTCAAACCCTCGAGAACATACTTCTACTCTCTTCATGAACGATCGAAATTCATCTAGGTTTAACGATAACATTTCTAAGTATTCTAGTAATGTTTACTGGGAATTCTAGTTCATTAAAAAGGATTCGCAATAAGGTTATTATTATGATTTTCCTCGCTTATACATCCCCGAGTTATATATAAGGAAGACCCGGTAGACAATAGAATATGAGATTTCTAATTTGGTTTCTTTTCCTCGTTGGGATGTGAAACTAGAGTAGAATCACACATTTTACTATCCGCCCAATCTTTATTATATCATAACGTGTATAAGATAAGTTTTCACTTATAATAACTCATCTCTTAGTCAGAATCAAAATAATATAGGTTCAATCATATCAACTCATGAACTCCTTTTCTTTTCGTGTAACAGAATCATGTTGCTAAAGAAAAATAATCAACCCCTAAACCAAACACCAACTCTTCAGATTGATGCAGGTACCATTCAAGCTGCAGTCTCAGCTGTCGTTACAGTTATTCTGACTCACCTTCACGCTAACAACACAAATGTTAGCGGGATTGTTGGCAATAATTCCAATCGTTGTAACAATCGAAGAAATCAACAAATAGTAACAGTCACAAACACCCAAGGCCACAACTCAGAGTTTAAGAAACGAAAGCATCGAGCCCAAAAGGAATAAAAGCGATATGATGGAACACTTCTTAAGTGTAAGAAGTGTAGCTATCATCATAATGGAGCCTGTCGGGTATTGTAATGTATCAATTGCATCAGACTGGGGCACATTGCCCGTTTTTGTGAAACCACCGCCACCACTAGAGCCAGCCAAGGTTGCTATGATTATGGTGTGACTGGACAGTATAAAAGGAATTGTCCAATAAGGAAAAAAATGAAAGCACCCATGTCCACATAATTCCGACCCGACACATCATTTCCACCATCGATGCTAGTACTAGCCAGAACTGTCACCAACGCGGCGAGCTAGGGCACCTCAAGAAAGATTGACCAATAACAAAGAACTCTGGCGCAGACGTGAAGATACTAAGGATCACTGTCGTAGGAGAAACTACCCCGGACCCACGTTAAAGTATTTAAGGCATTCGTTGTAACAGACTCATAAACTGTTTAAAACTAGTGCCACTCGAATCTTATCTTTTACGACATCCCGTCAGTAAAGGGATCCTCGTGCTGCATGTACTTGCCTTTTGTAGTATACCTTGTTTGCAGCAGTATTCCTATAGTTACTTTAAAAGTAGACAAAATTGCAAATTTGGTCCCTGTGGTATGTCAAAATTAGCATGTTTGGTCCAAAATGGATTTGGTTTGCAAGGATGGTCCAATAGTTTCTATTTGTTGCGAGTTTAGTCTAATGGCTTAACAGCCATTACCAAGCTCCTGTTAATTTACCCATGCCCCTCTCTATTAAGGGTATTTTAGTCCATTCATCCCTGTAACCGTTCCCGCTAAAGCTCAATAAAAGCAGTTCGTCTCCTCAATAAAGTAGATCGTCGTTGTTTAACCAAGCTCAATAAAAGCCCGAGACACAAAATCAGTTCTGTTAGTTAAGCTGCAGTTTGTAGAGATTATCGGTGGATGAACATACCAATGTGGCACGTAAGATTGTTAAACACACCCTTCAACCCCAAGGTTGTTTATGGTATGTAATTTTCCCTTTTTCATCTTTAAATTTCTTGATTTTTTTGTTGAAGTAAGTCCACCTGAGGTGTTTTTTTTTCTTGTTTTGAAGATGGATACCCAACATTGTTTACCATTAAGTTGTACCATGGAGGTGAGTTCACTAAGTACCCTGATGTCCGTTACATTGATGGAACTGTAAACTATGTTGACATGGTAGATATAGATGAGTTTTCAGTTTATGAGCTCGATGCAATCATGAAGGGTTTTAGATATGGGGTTCCTCCTGTTATATACTACCATTTTCTTATGCCTGGTGGAGACTTCCACTTTGGTCTTCGCCCTTTAGGAAATGATCAAGATGTTGCAAACTTTTCTCAATATGTCAGTGAGCACAAAGTGATGAAGGTATACACAGAACATGGTGAAACAAGACTACTCACCTATTTCTTGAATCCTAAGCCTGTTACCAAGGTTACCCTTGTACATTTAGATGAATCACATGAGGATGTGCAACACATTGATGAAGCTCCTGATGACCAATCAAAGGAAACACTTGTGATGACTACACCTACTGATAATTTAGTTGAGGTGGTGCCCACTCAAGCAAACCAACCTGAAATCCAAGTCAATGAAATAGTTCAAGTCGTATCCTTGTCACCTGGATATAATAGGAGAAGGGTTATGAGCAAGGATGGAGTGATGGCATCTTGTAGTAAGAAAATATACTTTGATGATATTGGTGAGACTGAGCAGATAGCCAAAGACTTTGTTGAGGCAGCTACTGATTTTGATATTGGACTCTACCAACAAATACTACAAAGCAATGTTGATGGAGTCATTGGCACTGACATGCATGATGTCAATGAACCTCAGATGGATGAAGAAAACCAAGCTCAGATGGATGAAGAAAACCAAGCTAAGATGGATGAAGTAAACCAATCTCAGATGAATGACTTTTGGGATTTTGACTATCAAACTGATGCTTTTGTCCAAGATGGAAGTGAAAACCAACCTTAGTCTAACATGGATAGTAGTGGAAAAGAAAATGTAAGTGAGGTTGAAAGTAAAGAAGGAAGTGAAACAGAGCAGGAAGATGATAGTGATGATAGTGATTATTGGGTGGATGAAGATAATGTAATTGAAGATGTTAAAGTTGATATGAGGGATTTTAACATGAGCATTGATACAAAAGTATAATTCTTGGATAAAAAGGCTAGGATTCCTAGACAACATGAGAGTGATGAAGAAGCAGATGAGTTAGATGTCATTGACAATGATGCTTTTGATTCCATGGATGAGGATTCTGATCAGGACAGGAAGAGAAGAGCAGTTTTGAAACAACTAAGTAAGGAAAAAAGTTGTTCTTTTGGTGAGGTTCATAAGTGTCATTTTAAAATAGGTCAAAAGTATAACAGTAAGCAGGAGTTTAAAGAGAAAATCAAAATGCATGCATTGGAAACAAAAAAGAATATTGCATTTAAAAAAAATGACAAATCTAGATTGAGGGCCATATGTAGTGGAGTTGTGGCATTTAATAATGATGTGGTTGGTGAACCTACCCAAACTGAAAAAAGTAAAGGGAAAAGTAAAGAAAAGGACAAACAAGGTGGGACAAGTCAGGAAAAAGCAGATTCTTCTTGTCCTTAGATGTTACATGCCTCGAGGTCTACAAATGCAACCAGTTAGTACATTAAAACAAATGAAGACAAACACACTTGTATGAGTACAAGGAAGGTGAGAGCTGCAATAGCAAAGTTTATGTCCAAACAAATCATGGATCAGGTAGAATCCAACCCTACTATCCCAGTTAAAGCTCTCCAAGAACAATTACAGAAGAAGTATGGAGTGGGTTTCTCAATTCATAAAGTTTTTAGAGCTAAATCAGATGCAAAAAAGATTGTAGTGGGTGATTACCAAAAGCAGTATGAAGTTCTGAGAGACTATATCCTGGAGTTGCAGTCAACCAATCCTGATACCACAGTCAAATTAGAACTTAGAGATGTTTCAGAATCTAATTTGGTAAATTGCACTTCTAGATGTTTCAAAAGAATCTATGTTTGTCTAGGGGGATGAAGAAGGGATTCAAAGCTTGTTTAAGAGATTTCTTGAGGCTAGATGAGACTCATAAGAAAAGCCCTTATCCAGGCCAAATCTTAACTGCAGTTGGATTAGATTCCAACAATGGCATATACCCACTTGCATATTCCATTGTAGAGATTGAAAACTGTGAATCTTGGAAGTGGTTCCTTGAAAGTCTTGGTGATGAATTGGATCTACACGCTATGTCTAATTTCACTTTTGTTAGTGACAGACAAAAGGTAATGGTTGTTTATTTATTATTTTTAATGTTTATTTGTTAATCATGTGCAATTTGTTGCCAGGGTTTGCTACAAGCAGTTAGTCAACTGTTCCCATGTGCTGAGCATAGGTTCTGTCTCAGACATATACATGAGAACATGAAGAAACAATGGAGATCTAAGGAATATAAAGATCACCTTTGGGATTGTGCCACAGCTACACCAGTGCTAGAGTTTAACCATTACATGCACCAATTCAGTCTATATGACAAATCAACATATGAATGGTTGAAGTCAATACCACCACAACATTGGGCAAAAAGCCATTTCACAGGTAAGCTATTATGACCCTTTTACCCTTTTACCATTATACACTTTGACCATTTTACCCTTTACACAACATTATGACACTTTTACCCTTTTACCATTATACCCTTTGACTATTTTACCCTTTACACAACATTATGACACTTTTACCCTTTTATATTCAAGGAGAGCAACCACAGACATGTTGTTACACAACCTTTGTGAGGTGTTTAATGGAAAGCTGGTTGATGGGAGAGACAAACCAATTATTAGATGCTTGGAGTTTATTAGGGAATATATGATGAAGAGGATATGCAATGTCCTCAAGGTGCAACAAAAGTGTGTAGGCCCACTCACCCCAACAGCAACAAAGATCATGGAGAAGAATGAAGCAGCTGCTACTCAGTACATTGTAGAATGGTGTGGTGATGAAAAATACCAAGTCAAAGGTCCATGGAATGATCAATATGCTGTTGATATGCATGAAAGGGTATGCAGCTGCAGTAAATGCGAATTAACAGGTATCCCTTGCAGACATGTGATTTCTATGTTGTATAACAAAGCAGATCATGGTGAGTGTGTACACGAGTTCCATACTTATGTCCACAAGGTGCACTGGCTACAAACTTGGAAAACTGCATATGGGTACAAGGTGGAACCAATTAAAGGTTGGGCACTATGGCCTAGAAGTGAGTGTCCAATGCAGATCACACCTCCCCCACACCGTAATCAACCTAGGAGACCTAAGAGGAAGAGAAGGCAATCCATGGAGGAGAAAAGTCAAAGAAAGAGTCAAAGTCAGAGTCAAAGGTTAGATGTTGGTCCCAGTGAGATTCATGGTCATGGTCCACATGGTAGTGGGAAAATAACAAGAAAGTTTGTTAGTGTGACTTGTAGTAAGTGTGGAAACAAAGGGCACAACTCCAGGACATGCAAAGGTCAGGGAGGGACTTGATGGTCTATGTTGGTTTTATCTTTTGGTTTGACTTTATGAACAAGTTTGGTTTGATTCCTAGATGCAGGATGTCTTTTATTGCAATAACTTTGTTTTCAATTAACTTATGACATGTATTTTGAAGATGGTAATAGGTATTATGTCTTCAGTATGCTTTTGTGTTAACTACTTATGGATACATTATATGTTATCTTTAGAAGGTTATGTATGAACAACAGAACAAATCCATAATTGGTCAATAGATACCAAATTTTCATTACCATTACTTTGCATTACAACAATGTTCCACATTAGAAAAAAAAACTAATTAAACCTGACACATATACCCCTATCCTATTATAAAAGATAACCGCAATCAACCTGTGGACTTACAACAAGAACACCAACACAACAACAAAAAAAATCCAACTATAGACTAGGTAATATTTCAACATAGTTTCTTCTTCTTTGATCTTCTCCACTGCTTTTTCATGCTTGCTTGCTTGTTCTTTTATATCATCCGTTGCTTTTCGTAGCTTATTGATTGACCTAAGCAGCCCTGGTATTATAACTTTGGAACGAGCACACACGGGTTCATCATACCACCTAATAAACCCACATGATGAATTCTTGAAAAAAAGAAGAAAGAAACATTAGATCATCAGGGAGAAGTCGTCAAAATAAAGTTTAACATAGTTAACAGGTTAGGACATCCCCAAAATTTGCGCCCTGGGTTGTTATCGGTCCATGATGTACGAACTATCACCCACTTTCTGTAGAAGCACATCACCATTGTCGATGGAGAAGATGAAATCACTGGGGGGTGATCGATGGAGAAGATGAAATTAGAGAGGGAGTGATAGTTAGGGCTTATTGCTGGAGATGAGAATAGAGACATTGTAGTCTCTTTATGGACTAAATAATAATAAAATAATAAAGGGGCTAGATGAATGGACTAAAATACCCTTAAGTGAGAGGGGCATGGGTAATTTAACGGGAGTTTGGTAACGGCTGTTAAGCCATTGGAGTAAACTCGCAACAAATAGAAACTATTGGACCATCCTTGCAAGCCAAACCCATTTTGGACCAAACATGCTGGTTTTGACATACCACAGGGACCAAATTTGCAATTTTGTCTTAAAATTATACTAACTCTGTTAAAAGTTGCATGGTTGTTTTTTGTCTGTAACACCTTTATGTTCAAATCTAATGTCTTTACTTCCAAGTAAGTCCGATATTATCATACGACTCGAGTCAATTCGATCCGCACCATAGCAGTATCGTGCGCACATCTCTTTCTCCGAATTCGCCTTTTCTAACGATGTCGTCATTCCAGAACACCGAAGTACTCGTACATAGAGTACCTCATACTTCTTATCCTTTTCAAAGAAAACTCAGCAAACCTCCCCGAAGCACCACTCATAAAGTACGTCAAGTTCAAACCAAGGATCTTTACGGTTGATCTATCGCTGAAGAATGTATACACAGGGGTGGTATATAATCAAGGTTCTACAGGTTTAGAATTGATGATTCAAATTTAACTTCTTTTCCTCGTTGGGATGTAAGGTTAAAGAAGAATCATTTATTCGACAACCTTTTCAATCTTAATTATATACGACTTGTATACACGAGACTGTGATTGGTGAACCAAGTATGACTTCTAATATGAACCTCAGGACAGAGACTGTCTAAGACTACAAGTAATCGCATTGCCTTGCGAACAAACTTAGAACCCAATACGACTCTTGTAACCAGATCGCCCTACGGTCTAACGCCCACAGAGATACACGAACCGTCCTGACAACTTAACAAACTACTCAGCAATGAATGAAAAGACCAAGCTTCTCACCCTGGAGAGCTCTGGTCTTGTTCTTCAAGAGGAAAGACAAATTGTTTTGTAGGTCCCTCGACTTTAGATACCCCGACAAGATTTCCATTAGAAATCATTACCCTCTGCTTTGCATCGTAGAATTGGTCGACCAACCGCATGGAACTATTTACCTTTCAAAAATAGACCTAAGATCTGAATATCACTAGTTGCGACTGTTAGTGAAGAATATCTTGAGGACAATATTCCAAACTTGATATGGACACTATGAGTCCGTAGTGATACCCCTCAGATAGGACCAATACGCCCGTAGTATTCATGAACTTAATGAATAGGGTACGCCATTCTTACTGGGATCATTTAGTCCTTGTCCTTGTGAATGACTTACTTATCTACTCTCATAGTATGAAAGAAATCATAAAGGGCATCTACAACAAACCATGGAAACATTACGATTAAAGAAGCTTTACACGAAGTTCTCTAAATACGAGTTTTGGAGTTGAAGAGTCAAATTCCTAAGACGCACTGTTAGTGTTGTGGGAATTCTTGAGGACCCCTCCAAAAATCAAAATCATTGAGAATTTGTCAGCACCGAAGACGCCTATGGGAATTCGCCAAATTCTAGGTCTCGCTGACCTACTATCGTAAGTTCATTTAGAACTCCTCGCAGATTACGGAACCTCATACGACTTTGACCCAGAAGGGAGCGACCATTGGTTGGGAAGAAAAGCAACAGGAAGAATCCTTTGGAATTCCAAGTGAGAGACCAAATTCTTTTGGAAGTCTCACTCTAGGAAGGCTTGATACGTTTCGAAAAGCGTGGAAAGCTAAAATCCAAGATAGTTCATTCCTCCGAGATTCTTGCCAGAATTAGCCATGTAACTCACAAGTCCAACCTACACCACGAACTCAGTAACATACATTTTACACTTCATGTCTCAAACTTGAAAACATACCTATCCGTCAAGATGCTCGTAATCCCACTCGACGAGATCGAGATCAACGAGACCCTTGCCTTCGTGGAAGAACCGTAGTGACCATCAACCGAGAGGTCAAGCGGACGAAGCAACGCCGCATCCCGTTTGTGAAGGTTCGTTGGGATACTAGCCAAGGACCCGAATTCACTTGGAAGTGTGAGGACCAATCGATTAGGAAGTGTCACCACCTCCTTGCTCGATTGTTCATGCCTAATCCTTTACCTAAATTCTAATTTCGGGATGAGATTCCCTCTAACGGGGGGATGATGTGACAACCCGAAATTTTCTATCTTGTATAGTCAAAT